CATTTTTACATAATTATATATGTACGTAGCCTACAAATTGCCTTAATTTATGTGGGAATTCAAACTTGTGAGAATCACTTGTGCTCACTGATATAGCTACATATGTAGAGCGCTTCCATTAATGTACAGCGTATGAACACAAAAAAAAAAAGAAATTAATAATAATAATAAAAAGCTAGTCAAGATAACGTACATCATACATAGCATATATGTATGTCTATAAATATAAATAAATGACAACGACAAGGAAGTGCAGCATTCACTTGTTTTGTATTTATAAAATTTTAATTTGATTTATTTGGTTACTTTGCTACACCATTGCCCGTTCGCAATAAACTATTAATGTATGCGCATACATATGTACTTATTAAGTAGCCTGCTCAGTCACTAAGTTTGTGACTAGACGCTTTTCGAACATATCAATTTGTTCGGGAATTCTTTCAAACAAAATGAACACACACAAACAAAAGTAAATAATATGCTTTTGATTGAAAAGTAATTGAAAATCGCGACAAATGCACATAATTGAGCATTCCATTAGCGGTCGTTTGGTCTATAAATAGCTAGTCATGTTCGATAACTGCACTCGACGCTGATTTGTTTTCATTACTTCGAATGTTTTGCATCTCAATAAATGTTGTTGTTATGCTTTTTCACTTTAATTCTCAATTTTATTCGATTATTGTATAGAAATAGTAATGCAACATTTGTGCGCATTACATAGTACGCATACTAGTTGCAGCATAAATAAGTTGCTAAACACTCACCTTCACAGGTTCGTCGTTTTCGAAACCTCCGTTGCTGAAACCTGTCATTTTGTCAGCTCAAAATAAATCACAAGCCTTGAATAACTTCTCCTTATTATATAGTCTCTCTCTCTTTCCGCTCACTGTTGTAGTTGCGTTCTCTCTTTATTATTGTTATTATCAATTGCTAGTTCGGTTTTATTTATGTATAAATTAAAGCTGTAAAGAGAAGATGAGAAGATAGTAGTTAATTTATTTGTGGGATTTTTGGGTTAAATGTTGCTGATTTTTGTAAAAATGAAATATATTTTATTAGCAATAAATAACGATAAATTTCAATAATTTTAACAAATAAATTTAAAATAAATTATTGTAATTTTTGTAATATATATTTTATGCGGATATATTTTGCTTGTTAAATGAAACTATGTTGGTAACTCAATTTTGAAGAAAATTTTATTTTTGCTTGAAATAATATTTTATCGAGAATTCCTTAATCGAAAAAAATTGATGCCAGCTTGGAGAAAGCTTTGTTAAAGAAAATATGGACCAAATTAAAAAATTAGTTAAAAGTAACTGTTAACAATAATGTTAGTTTTTGTACAAAGACACCAGTGTTGGATGTTTGAGTGGTCGAGCAACCAACTAACCTAAACCGAATAACTTGATAAAATAAAATGACGTGAGTTAGGAGATGTTTTGTCACTATAAGCAGTATTCTCATATTTTTTTTAAATTTAATTTAAGTCGATAACTTTGTTGTTGCTTTCACACATAAAAGTTTCAAACGAGTACGCAGCGCTCAAACTTTGCGAGCAAAAAATTGACAAATCGAAGACGGTTGTGAATTAATAAGCACAATTATCTAAAAGAGCTCATATAGGTAATTTAGGGGATTGGGAATAGTAAGCAACAGTATTCACGTAAATAAAAGAAGTTTAAAACAGAAGAAATGTTTTTTGTTGAGTGGTGAAACGAATATGCAACTAGCATAATTTAAATCGTCTGATAAAATGAAATGAAGTGAAGTAGATACAACTTTTGTCAATTTAAGAAGTTATCCAAATACTTTCTTGTATTGAATTATACTCGAGAATCTTGTTGTGTCTTTATATAGTGAGCAGAGAAGTGGCAAATCGAAAACGCTTGTAAATTAAAACGGAAACAGCGTTGTGACAGAATTCTAGGGATAGAAAATAGGTTTTAGAACAGCGTTCAACGAATTTTAAAAATTTTTAAATAAAAGTATTTAAAAAAAATTTTTTTTTTCTTTTATTTTGAAAATCATTTGACTGTAATGACTGTGACTTAACTGCAAGACTAGCAATAGTCAGTGAGAATTAATACCAATACCCTTTAATAATATAAAAATTCAACTTGATGATGTAATAATTATATTACTTCCTTTATCACAGTTATTTTTATATTTGCTGTTTTCCTTAGACCAATCTATTTAGTAAAATAATTGCCTTATAAATTATCAAAATAATATAGTTTTATTTTAATCACATTTTATTAAACAATAGGCTGTAAATATTTCTTTGTTATTCATGCTTAATTTTCCTTGTAATTATTTTTTAATTTATTATTATTATATATTTTTTTGCGCTTATTATTGTTACAGATCCGCTAAAAGTCACAAAACACTAACCATATACCAGGTTGAATTAAGAGCCATAATTAAGCTTATTTAATTTCAACTCAGTAAACACATTAATTGAACTTGGAAATCACAGAAAAGATAAATATATATGTATACAGTGCTTATGCGGGGGAATATTATTTTATAATACTTTTTTGTTATTTATTATTATTTTTTTTTGTGAATAACTATGCGTGCATGTAATTGATTGGCTGAGCTTAAGGCCTTTTGTTAATCATTATGATTTTGCAATTAAATTTTACACAATGCACCTAATTGACTCTAAGTCTATAACTAAAACTAAATGAGCAAATGTGTAATTACATATATTTTTAAAACCACTGGAATTAGTTTTAATGTACAAGAAGAGTATCTATTATATTGCTGTTTGCCTGTTTGGAGAAGTTTGTCATGCTAAATATAGTTACTATAAATTACTATTGCTTTGACTGTTGACAAATTGCAAATTACGAGCCACTTTTTTGTTGTGTGTATTAAGAATGGAAAAAAAAATAAAAAAAATAATAAATAACCACAAGCTTAATATAATAATTACTTATATTAAAAATTTAAAACAAAAGAAATTTAAAAGAACACAAATAACATATAACTGAAAACGTAATATAATATGTTATTATTTTCGT